TCGCCATCTCGGTGAGATCCTCACCGGCAAGGATGACGGAAGTGAGGTCAAAGAACCACTCGTCGAAGTTCTCGGCGTCGAGGAGGCGCTGCGTGAACGGTAGGGCCGCGCGAGAGGTAGCGGGTGGAAGGCTCATAACCAGTTGGAAGGGCAGTAGGCAGGAACAGGCACTTGGCAGGCAGAAGGAATAACTGGAAGTGAATTTCTTCTGACTGGAAAGTACCAGCCAATCAAATCTAACTATGATTGATCACGACATCCAATGATGTTCCGTGACCAAATCTCTGCGCTGACTTCTACTCTGAGGAAAAGCCTCTAGAAGGCACAAAAACCTCCTACACAGCTAGCAGACGCTGCTACCTGACTGACAGGGCAGCGGGGATGTTCTCTATCAGGACAGGGTGTTCTGACTAAGAGGACAACGAAGAAGGAGTGTTGGTTTCTGCGTAACGTTACCTGTAAGAATCAAATGAATTTGACCTTGAGTATGCAAAGCCAATAATTAAATATAACTTGTTTGTTTATTTAATTATATAGCTTTGATTATAGTTATGGATATTGATTTATTAAATTTCTGGGGTCATGAAATGTCAGGTCTATTTCCGTCGTTCAACAATTTTGAAATGTCAGGTCTATTTCCGTCCGGAGGTAGTAGTATATATATATATATACCTTCAATAAAAACGAAATACAGTCACTGTTTGAATAGATGGAACATCATTGACCGGAGGCCTAATACTTCGAAGTAGGATATATTTTGAGCAAGCCCCCAAATGTAGTTAGTGCCTGTGGTGACACATACCTATATTTGTCCAAGTACTTCGAAGTACTCCACTGTAGGGTCTGGACGAAATATATCGAATATCATCGCGACAAACGACGGATACTAATGCCCGAACAGGGTTTTTAAGCTTACTGTAGTACTTTTAAGCTTACTGTAGTACTATTAAGCTTACAGATAGTACTACTCCGGAGTAGTACATCATTTGGGCGGGTCTGGATGCCACGAAAAATGGCCGTTTTCGAAGAAAAGTTGCCAAAATCGAAATATTCCATTTTTCGAGATTTTGTGCGTCTGATTACCAAAGTTCATAAAATTTTGCCACAATTTTCTTGAGAATCGGGTGTTTTATGGCATAAATAAAATGGACCGATTTGGTCAAACTTTTTTATGGAGGTTTGTGTTATAGCGTTGAAGTCTTGCATTTGACTGAATCGGAAATCGAACGATTTTTCCAAAATTCAATTGGCATCCAGACAACTTTGCAGATACTTCTTTTCACCTCTTTTTCATGGGATATGACACTTTGGGAAAAAAATTCTGTACAGTAGTTTGATTGGTTATAATACAGTATGAATATGACGCGCCATGTGTCACACACTCTAATTGTCGTACCGACTTGTGTCAACTGGATTTGCGTTTCACAGCCAATCAAATCACTGGAAAACCTCAACATGTTTTACAGTTAACTCCAATACAGTACTGTCCTATTTTCCGAAATGCCGAGAGTATGGTGCATGGTGGTTGGCAACGGAATCCCGTTCCCTGTGGACATCGGAGCTGATGAGACTGCGGGGGATCTTAAGCAGCAGATCAAGAAGGGCAATCCGTCCTTGATAGCGTGTGATGCGAAGGATTTGACGCTCTTCCGGGCGTTCAAGAATGGCGCGTGGCTGACGAGCGATGCTGCAAAGGACGTGACGGTCGACGACCTTGGTGACTTCACCATGATGAACCCACAGCACTTGATCCAAGATCCTGCAAACTTTCCTGCGAACATCGACGTGAACGCAGTGGACATTCTAGTGCTGGCGGCGGTCCCCGTGGTTGCACCACCATCAGTCGCGTCGCTGACCTCCGACGTGCCTACCCCCTTGACGAAATACACCCACTCGGGGATGAATACTAACAACGGCCAGGACCTGCTGACAAGGTTGAACGTTGTTGTGAAATGTTCTGTGGCGTCCGCCGTTGGCGACCAGGTTGTTGCGGCTGAACCGTTCAAGTGGGAGGACAGTAGTTCCGATGGAAATGGTCAATCCATCCCGTTGACTGAAGAACAACAGAGTCAACGGTACCGCGCATACTTGGAAGCCCATCTTGTAGCTGTGCTCAAGAAACACAAGCTATGTGTGTTTGCTGTGGACAAGGGCGACGACATCCTCTCCGCTGCGATCCCAGGCCACGACATTCTCCTAGTGTGCGGCACCGACCTCGTCATTCTGGATGACTTGGTGACGAAGAATCCGTCCGATTTGCATTTCCTGCCTCGCGTCAAGTTGGCCATCTAAGTGAAGCGCGAGGTGGACATCAACTCGACCTACGAGGCCACGTCGCAGCTGATCGCTCTGGATGCGCTGGCCCCTGATTACGTCATGGTGCTGCTGACCGACTTGACCACTACGTGGGAGTTCTTGTGGATTTCCGACATCCATCCCCCGTGCATCCACAAAATGTACGTCGCGACTCCTGGAGATGCGTTTCAAGTGATTCGGGCGATCGTCGACGACGATGAGACTGAGCTGGAACTGGCTTGCATGGAACGTCCGCTGAAGCGACGCAAGCTGGACGAAGCGTGTGAAGATGCTGGCGATGGGATTCGGGAGCGCGTCCAGCAGTACTATGACATCCAGAGCATGCTGGGGCCTGACGACGACATGGCAGAGGCGTTGGCGCGTGGCATTGTGAGATGTATCCCTCAATATCGCGCGCACATTGAATTCAAGTAGTACGATGCGGGGATTATATTGTTTTTTTCAGGATATATATATTATTGTGTTGTCATCAAACGACATCAATAGCAGCAGCTCCACTCGTCGCACAATTCATTCTATCCATTCGTACCCAATTCTACACGTGAAACGGTTCATCGTGTATTACTGGTACTATTTAACTATTTATTGTAGGGGGTCAATACAGATATATTTCGAGAAAGTAAAACTATTATTAATAGTTTATACTAGTATACAGCGAAACGCTCGTAATTTACAGTTAACGTTATCAGATTCAAAAATACTTTCTATGCGCGTTGAAACATATTTGCAGGTGACCTATAGCGAAACGGCGGTCATGAATAAAACCTATGCGTTAAACTCCATAACATAATATTTTGATTACTAGTATTCATTAAGCGATCTTTTTGTCCAATAAGAATGGTTTAATTTAACCCTAATCATTTTTGGAGCTCGGACATTTGAGTCAAAAGCAAATGTGACCACCGACTAGCGCGCCACACGTCGAGGGCTTAGAGAAAAAAATTAAATTATTATTCATAAATTTTAATTCGAAGTCGTTTTTAGTAATTTTTTATTAAAATTTAGTACAAATATCACTACTAGTATATTAAATAATTAGAACTTGACGCTTCGATAAATTTCTTTAGTCCCGATAGCCTTGTTGCATCGGATACCTGCGACACTGGTTCACGTGTGACGAGGGTCGTACCGTCATACAATCAGATGGATATATTTCTTCGAGTTGGTGCACACGAAAATGTTTGAACATCGGGGCAATGTTTCACCCCTTCAAGTGGGGGAACTATGTCACACTTCTTCTTGCAAGGGCAATTCCGTTTGAATTTTGATCGACTACATATATATATATTATATATTTGAATTACGTTCAAACGGCTATTAGTGTGTGTTTTGGTGGTCCGACTGTTGTTCGTGTCAATGGCGCGCCTTTCTTGTGTTTTAACGCGCCACGTCATTACGCTTCCTTGGTCACCAGTCAATTTAGTCTACCTTCGCTTAATGCGATGACGCTGCTCGTCATGCAGAGGACGGCGCGCCCATGTGCCTCGCGGCGGCTTGCGCGGCCGCCTTCCACTGAATCGTCAGCTCATTTCTCGGCTTTTTGAACGTGTCCAACTCAATGGGCTCTGCAATGTGCATCGTCACATCATCATACTGATCGTCGTGTAATTTCCCAAATCGCCGACGTTTCCGTGTAGCTTGCGCGGAAGCATCGGCCACGATGCCGCGGACGTCCACATGTTGCATCATGGCGTGTACAATTGCATGCCATTCGTCTGGGGGGGAGATGGCAGAAGTAGTTGGATCGAGTTCTGGAACGAACCCGTACGCTTTGTAGCCATCCAAATTGGACATTTTGGCGAAATACGTAGTCACAGCCGCCTTGCACTGGTCCAAGCTGTAGTACCCGTGGGCTGGGAGTCGATTGAAGATGCCACCGAGGACACGCACGTGGCGAGAGCTGAAATACGTCGCGTTCAAGTTGAACGAATCCACCTACCAAATTTACATGTCTAAATATATATATATATGTCAAAACTACGAAATATAAATATATATACTAAGGATCGACTTCTTCTACTGTAGTAATCCTACTATTGTGCGTTCGACTGATAAAAATTCTTCCAACGGTTCAACGATCGCTGGACCTGCGAAATATAATATATATAATTAAGTTCAAGAGGGTATATTCATTCGTTTAGCCAATCATATGTCAACGTATATTCGTTTTATCCAATCCAACAGCTTTGTTCGAATTCTTGGTAATTTTAACCATTCCGACAATAGAAAAATTTGGGCAAAATGCTCAATGCTAATATGAAGACATATAGAGTACACAGTGTCACATGCAGAGGACGCACCGCATCGCCGACGCCCTTTTTGCCTACAAGGAGGACCGAGATGGGTTGCAGCGCGGCGGCAATGTCGGCATTGGACACGCCACAGATGGACCCGACGGCGGGATACCCGACGCCGTCGATGATAACGATGCGCTTGCCGACGGAGATGGCATCAACGGCATGGACGACTTGGCGGAGGAGGTCGAGGGAGGCGCGCGCGGGGTCGGGCTGGTCCAGGAATGCACGTGTGAACCCCGCATAGAACACGACTGGGCCGATGGGTTGAGCTGCGATGCCTACATGACACGTCAAGGCGGAACGATGAGGAAAGGACGGGCGCACCATAGTGCTCGCAGAAGCGTGCGACAAGCTGAGGTTCTTCGCACTGGGTCGCAGGTTTGATGTACGCGAGCTCGCTCGGATGATAGCTAAAACTTCGTTTAGAGGGAGATATTTCAGGGGGTGCATGTACCCGAGTTGCAGGAGGGCGCCGAGGATGCCAAGACAGACTGTGGATTTCCCGACTTGAGATCGGTCGCCGCCGATAAAGAGACGCAGTGCGCCGTTTGGTGTACCAGCGGAGGGGAATAAAGGTGGAGGACTAGTCGATGGAGTCACGAAAGACACATGGGTCCGAAGCAAAGGAAGCAGATCTTGGAGGGACGTGACGGTGGATGTTGGCCCAGGCGGAGCCGTGGTCACTTGGATCTGAAGCGAGGAGTTTCCCTCCGTCACGTGGACATGCATGTTGTCATGCACAGCCGAGAGACCCTCAAGCACAGCCTTCACCTGTTGGAACTCTGCATCGACGGCACTGCCACACACATGTACATGCATCGTCATCACTATTCGTCGGATCTTCCTCCAAATGTGACCATGCCTATTTCGAGCAACCAACGGAATTCAACAAACCAGATGATTCACGAGTGGATTATCCGGATTTCCGAATAACAGTGCACCACCCCGGAGTAGTATTAATACTATTAATATACTACGTAGTACTACTGTACGTATTAATACTACTATTAATATTACAGTAATATTTCTCCATGTCGCCCATTAGACGGTGCCGCACCTTGACGGGATCTGCGGAACTATTCCCTACAAATGCGACGGCCGAAGACAACCAAGAATGGCGGCGGTAAGTAGAGTGCAGTGGAGGCCATCCTCCATGGTCGCTGCACTTGCTTTTCCATAGGTCCACGGCATATCATTTCTCCGTCCACCAATCTTCGTTGCACTTCACCGCCCACCATCTCGCACTCGGCGGGTGGAAGGCGGTGGAGTGCAGCGACGATGGTGTAAGGAGGAGTGTTGTCGAGGACTCCTTTATCGTCGCTGCACTACACTCTCCTCTGTAGCCTCTACAGTGTATTGCTTCGACGCTGTACTCCACTGTCTGCTGACACCAAGTGGCTGGCAACCCTTCCATGCCATTGCACCTATAATTACTAAAACAACGTGTTTTATTTCTCCCAATGACAGAACCTTCGATTTGCTTCGTTTTAGAGCAAGTGCAACCTTTCTTTATATAAAACGTTCAATCGTTAAAGCTGCTAAAACCACTGGCAGAAATGTTGAAAAGCACAATAGTACTACTGTACGTATTAATACTACTATTAATATTACAGTAATATTTCTCCATGTCGCCCATTAGACGGTGCCGCACCTTGACGGGATCTGCGGAACTATTCCCTACAAATGCGACGGCCGAAGACAACCAAGAATGGCGGCGGTAAGTAGAGTGCAGTGGAGGCCATCCTCCATGGTCGCTGCACTTGCTTTTCCATAGGTCCACGGCATATCATTTCTCCGTCCACCAATCTTCGTTGCACTTCACCGCCCACCATCTCGCACTCGGCGGGTGGAAGGCGGTGGAGTGCAGCGACGATGGTGTAAGGAGGAGTGTTGTAGAGGACTCCTTTATCGTCGCTGCACTACACTCTCCTCTGTAGCCTCTACAGTGTATTGCTTCGACGCTGTACTCCACTGTCTGCTGACACCAAGTGGCTGGCAACCCTTCCATGCCATTGCACCTATAATTACTAAAACAACGTGTTTTATTTCTCCCAATGACAGAACCTTCGATTTGCTTCGTTTTAGAGCAAGTGCAACCTTTCTTTATATAAAACGTTCAATCGTTAAAGCTGCTAAAACCACTGGCAGAAATGTTGAAAAGCACAATAGTACTACTGTACGTATTAATACTACTATTAATATTACAGTAATATTAATAGTACTTGTACTATTAATACGAAGTACGTATTATACTATTAATATTACCTATAATAGTAGTAAGTTATTAATAGTACTGCAGTAAGTACAGTAGTATTGTGCATTTCACCCAAATTTGGAGGCATTTTGTCTAATATTAATCGCATTCGAATCCATTATTTGATCTCATTTAAACTATGCGATACAAAGATTAGTACAAATATGGTTTTGCCCCATGCGGGCGGTTCTTTTTCATCGATTCTCTTAAGTCATTTGATTCTACTGACGGCTCCAATACTTTGAATCGATTTGGCAATATATCATCAATAACTACTCGAGTCCTGATTATATTATCCGGCACACCGTTTTGCCACGACTTCACACCACTGTCCCCAACGCTACCACGTGTACTGTATATGATAAATATAAAAATTAATAATATAAAAAAAATAAAACAGTATTACAAGCTTGTAATAATTTTAATATAGTAGTGCTTCAGAAGTACTACGTAGTACATCATCCCTTGATACAAGGCTTTTTGTGTGTGTTCTTGTAACGAGTTGGTTTTTTATGCTGATGGCCGAGTGCCCCGGGGTGGGAGCCAGACGTATATTGCGTGCAACATCGTCGCATATAATTTGGACCAAGGCGAGTTAAGACTCGAATTAATATAAAAGGACCTTGGCATCTGCGACAAGGTGTGGACTACTGCAGAATGTGCAACGACGGTATGCTTTATTCATATCATAGAATCTCAGGCTCGTCATTCTGGAGCTTTGTGCAGCTGCTCGTGGCTAGGGTAAAAGCCGGAGGGGCTGCCGTCTAAATGTCATACAAAACAAGAGGATATTCACATCAACATCCCACTTGCATGGATATATATATATATATATATATATATATTCGACACATGGCAAGGAAGTTTATGAAATTCCAACGCACGAATTCAATGATATATATATATATATATATTTGACTAGGAAACAACGACGGATTCTATATATATATATATATATATATATATCGTACCAGATATGGGGCGACACCAATGGAAGCTGCTGGAACCAAAACATCGTTGGTCATAGGCAGCCCACTAACGACCTTGTCCTTGAGTTGCAATTTCTTGTCCTTTTTATCTGGTTTGGGCTTTGGCGCGGCGCACGTGTCGACACATTCGTACTGCCAGCCTTTGAATTTCAATCGTTCGTGGCTGTGGGGTCGGGGTACGTCCTACGCATATGTATTAGCGCAAATTAAATACATTGAAACAAATCCCACGACCACCATATATTTCAATTTCAAATGAAAACAAAAAAAACATTTAAAACTATGGTACTCGCCAACCAAAAATATTAATTCTTCTACACTTTGTGAATCCATGCAATACAATTACATACTACATTTACAATCAGACTATTCTCCATCCTCGGAACAAACATTTAAAAAACATTTTACGATTTTTTGTCTGCAAGCAAAAAAATAGCATTCGACGACTTGCTTAAACATCGTACATCCCTAAATATTTCAAATAATACATAAAAAATACATATTCGAACCACCATATCATCTTTTAATATACAAATAATATAATAAAAATACATATTCGAACCACCATATGATCCCTTAATATACGAATTATAGAAAAAAATACATATTCGAACCACTATATATATTTTCTGTCGCTTTCTACTCGACCAGTTATAAAGCTACCAAGTATCACCACCAACATTCTCATTCCCCCAGGCCAACGAAGAACATATTGGTTACATACCACGTGTTGTGAGATGGTACAGTTTCGAATGTAAATCCGACGGTGCGAGTGCTCAATATCGAGTGCACCGCATCGGTTGTTTTCAAAGGAGTTGGTGTCAAGCATAGCCATCTGGACGCCGCCTAAAAGGCGGACGCCGTACCGTCCATTCAATGCAAACCAACTGCGCCGGACGATCCCGGCGCCGTGGACCATCGCGAGTCCGCAGCGCCCGTGTCCACTCACTCGACAAGCCACAATCGCCACAAATCCACCTTGGACCACCACGCCCGACCTATATCAAACATATACACACGATTATTATACATCTCCACAATATTTATTTATATATATATATCAATAAACATGGAAACTAGATATATATATATGCACACGACAAAGATTGAACAACGCATTTTTCGTTGTGTATATTTTAAACTGGAGCGACATGGAGAAGGATGAATGAATTGACATTATATATAATTGGACACCAGAATCTACGGCAAATGACAGTAGTAGGTAGCCAATCAGATTGTACGAAATCACCACCCTCATCATCCATATACGACTACTACGTTGTACGTATAACATTCAGGACCACGAATCGATCGATATAGATATTTAAACAAAGTCTAAATATTATAGGTATTACAACGGTCAATACCCTCTCCCAACAAATAGTTCAAATGTGTTTGAATAAGTACAGTATCTTGTTGCAAGGTACTTACTATATATATATATATATATATATATATCATTTATGTCAACAACTCCAATAAAAACTCAACACAAGCAAGCGCCTTGGGTATATTCCATACGATTCATTTGCCACGACTGTCAATCTATCACTGAATATCAATATATAATTTGAATATCAGTATATCATTGAATATCAATATATCATCAAATATCAATATACCGTACAATTGCCACACTATGATATAGAAACATTGAGACACACATCTTCCAAAGCAGAAACAGACATACTAATGTAGCGTCCCAAACCAAAACATATAGATCCAACGAACCGTCCATATTAACTGTAAACAACAACATAAGACTTATAGAGTAGATCCAACTAAAACCGTCCAAATTAACTGGAACCAACAAGAAGACTTAAAAAATAGAATGCATCCAAGTAGAGCCGTCTGTCCAAATTAACTGTAAATATGTACCCGACAGCGTCGGCAATGTCGACATCCACCAACGTGGCCGTGCCCCCTTGCACTGCCACGGCCACGTCACCCCCCAGTATGCGGCTGTCCAGCACCGTCAAGTTGCTGTCAGATGCGACTGTAAGTACGACGTTCCTCCGGCTCTTGGTCGACATATTGGGCGACGACGAAGAGGTTGGGATCTGCACGGTCAAGTTGGAGATTTCACCCGCCTTGGCATGCCATACCAACCCACTCATCTCGTTGACAGGTGAAAACTCGAGTGTACATGTGCTTCCTAGGTTGTTGGGATGTGTGAGAGAGAGATGAGGAACTCTATATCATATATATAATAGATATCACTGAAAGTGCCACCAACCACAACCAATAGTATGTGGATACACATATATATATATGCTCGTAGCAGTCAGTCGAAATGATGTTGGATTCAACTATCCCGACAACTTTCCACTATAAATCAGATACAAACTCCTACCACGAACATGAATCATACGTCGAATCTATGGTCTCAAAATCTTGCCCCTATACAAATCTCGAAAATGTACCCGAAAATATCATTCACACCCATCCAATCACCATTCAAAGCAACTACTATTACACCAGTCAGAACCCTCCCCCCACCGCCCCTAAAATAACTCAAATTGCTCCACAATATAATCCCCGAGAAATAATTATATAAATATAATATATATATACATATATACATATATACCGCCCCTAAAATCACACAATTTGCTCCACAATATAATCCCCCATATATATACATACTCACCCAAAAAAACTCTACAAATACATGTATTTACATACCTCGGGTCAAAGGAGGACCGGTAAAGCGCACGGGGCAGCGAATATGCACGGCGGTGGGCATGCTGTGCACGCCACTGCCAAACGCAACCGTGTCGCAGGCCTCCAGAGCACTCAAAAGAGATTGAACGGCTGCGACAGAGTCGGTCGAGTGCACGCGCTTGTGAAACGAAGGGTGCCGCGCCGCCACAGTCCACTGCTTGTTCACACAACTCGCCATCCTATGCATGTATTTATATATATGTATGTATATTGTATATATTGTGTGAACTCTGCATATATATAATATTGTGTCAACAGCATCTATATATAGATATGTATATATTGTGCCAACTCTGTTTTCCGTTGACGACAATCCCAGTCAAGTTGGCAAATGTAGAAACTGTCCTGGCCAATCCAATGGCACGAACGTGAAATGTATATCAGCCAATCATTTTCGAGCAGAAGCGTTATTTGAACCAATCAAAATGTTTAGCTTGAACGATGGGAAATCTTTTTTGAATATTGACTAAATCTGACAATCTGACACCATCATCGATTCAATAATAAAGAAAAAAACGGTAAATGTTCACACTGTGGACAGTGTATTCATTTGATCTACTTATACGCACTACAATGTACTACACACATTGATACACTTCAAATAACATGAAAATCCAAAGTTTGGCTGCCATGATATATATATATATATGGTGACTTTCTTTCAAATTTCCCCTCTTCAGATCAACCAATCAAATGTCTCGGAAAGATGTGCGGGATTCGGCCGAAACAAAAGTTTGGTTCGAATCTACCAAATATGTATATATATATATATATATATATATATATATATATACCTGTCTTTGGCAGTGGCAAAGCCCAGAAGGTGCAGCAGCGTCGGTATGGACAAGCCGCCGTATCCGACAGTGACGGCATGCGCATGCTCATCGTTTGTCACCCATACAAGCGGGCGATCCCAAATGGCTTCGTGGGTGTCTGTGTTGTAATAAAATGGCAGATTTGATCGGCTGCAGGTCTTGGGCTACAATATAGAAATATATATTATATCACAAATAGTCAGATATATATATATATATATATTGCAAGTATTACATACCATCCACGCAGCCCCCGTCAACGCCCGGCGTCGTTTTTCACTCTTCACATGACTACGTTCGCGGACGTACAGGCGCTTTTGGGTCTTCACATCGACAGGTTCCGCTACAATCCACATGAATAATATATATATATATTGAACAGATATAATATAAAAACAACCCGATTTTCAAACAGAGGGATGAATATATATATATAGCTGGTGCGTTTGACCCCAATTGGCCGCCACTTTTGGAGGGATTCGAAAAAAGAATCAACAACAACTCGAGCAAAGCCGTAGTCTGATTGGCTAAAAAGAGAATGATGGTTGCGCTGTGATTGGCTAAAGAGAATAAATGTAATTGTAACAGTTCAGTCCAGTCGATTATTTGAAATTGTAGTGGCATACTCCAATCGAATGTGAGCAGAAGAACCAAATCGGCAGACAATCGATGAACGACCAATCAAAGCCTAGATCATTAATCAAATAGCCAATCAAATCCACTCTTTGCCCAATTCCATCTCGAATTAGTGTGTGTGTGTGACTGAAATTAGTGTAACACTGGATGCTTTTTCCATACAAAAGTCAGTCCAATCGATCGATAGATTTGGCAAATCAAGCACACAACTACGTCCAAATTTAGATTGACAATATAGCATTTTCAAACAATCAATGAATTTGGCAAAAATATATCCGCACCAAACTCTATATTATCTTTCCAGACAATACATATTACCTGCCACAATCAAGTCGCCATCTTGAATGGCCATTTCCTCGTCGACCACTTTCATCGCTTCGATACGCTCGAGCTCGACCTCTTCCTCGGCATAATCCACAGGCAACACATCCACCACGGACCCATCAAACAGCGGATCCGTCGTGCATCGGTACGTTATCGCATATTGGTCGATCGGCCGCAACGACGCACTTGCTTCCACTGCCTCTCCCGACGCTGTCGCAGATACAGTGTCTACTGCTGCATTCTCTTCATCGTCAAAGGTTTCATCCTGGGCTTTCGCCGCCTCTTGCTCGAGCTCCACGCCCTTCATAGCCGCCACATCTGCTTCATCTTCGCACTGCGCCATCGCATCTTGGATGGTCCGCATGTCCGCAGCGGTGTTCTCATTGGATGAAATAGAGGCCACGTCGTCACCGTCGTGATCTTGTGCAGTTGCTGGACCAATCAGAGCGCGCAAATTCGACTTGGAAAAGTACTCGGTCGTAAACTGCCCCTCAGACAAGACCAAAAAATCCAAATGTTTTTTCTGGCGCGCTTTTTTCAAAATATTTTGCTCCACCGTGTGCGCCGACACGAGGCGGTATATGTGCACGTCGCGCGTCTGACCGATGCGATGGGCTCGGTCCTGGGCTTGGGCGTCCATGGCTGGATTCCAATCGCTGTCGTAAAAGATCACCTAATGATCATAATGATCATATATATATATATACATTTTAATCAATCTATATATATATATATTTATATATGTATACATGTATATTTATTTATATTTGTATACACATGTATATTTATTTATATATGTATATATATGTATATTTATTTATATATGTATACATATGTATATTTATTTATATATGTATATTTATTTATATATATATGTATACATGTATATTTATTTATATATATATGTATACATGTATATTTATTTATATATATATTTGTGCTTTGCACACCCAAATATGGACGTGTCGATTATCCAATAGCATTGGATTCTCTATGTAAGCTTGTACAAACTATACTATACAGTGTTTAGCACATAGATCAGATGTTACCCAATGTGAAAAATGAATCGTTTGGATTGGCAGAAATTCAACAGAATGAGTGATTGAATTGGCTTCGACGGTTCCTTCGAATCGATCTGACAATATATATATATATATATATTATTGTCAGTTGGATTCGAAAGTGGACAAGGGGCGGCGATCAAGCATCAAATGTGACCAGCCAGACACTCGATCATCGACCAATCAAAACTCACCACACGAATCAAGGAGCCAATCAAATCTCTTTTCTCGCTTCACCAGTCCACAGTCGAAATTCGTGTATATAGTCGTGAGACAGCTGATCGATTTTTTTTTACTTACAACAAATCAGGAAGGGGATTACCAATTCTCGACAATATATATATATATATAATATATACAAATACATACCGTGTCGGCGCCCGTCAAGTTGATACCCAGTCCCCCGCTGCGAGTCGATAAGATGAAGCAAAACACCTACCCAAATCCCAAGTATATGTCATTATATTTTGCAAACTCGTGTCATAAAATATGTAATATATTTGGTATAAGTTGTCCATACATTAATACTCATAATACTAGCTCAATATATATTTATATATATCGTACCTTGGGGTCGGTGTTGAATTTATCCATCAACCGCTGCCGCTGTTCCACGGGGGTCGACCCATCCAGTCGAAAGTACGTGTGCCTATCCATGTCATCATCCCATCAGAACATAATATCTCCAATTTCACCTTTTATATAATGTATATAATATTTATATATACATCTAAACACGTTGATCCCAGCCATCAACATAAATATGTATATCTATATCATACATTCATCTCTCAACACATTTATACCAACGATCCATATACAAATATATATTTAAATATATATAGAATGCTACAACTCTTCCTTTTTCCAAATAAAAGAGGAGGTTTAAATATTCAATTAAGAAATATATATTACCCGTGGACGTTGAGAAATATCTCTAGAATATTCAGCATGGAGCTCATTTGCGAAAAGATAAGGCACCGATGGCTGCCCCGCTTGAGCTCACGCAGCAGTCTGTCCAGTTGCTGCAGCTTGCCACAGTCGAATTGAATGAGTCGCTTGTCTGGAAAGTACAAATGCTGCCGCTGCGTGATTGGGTGGAGCATCGTCCACGCTGGGTCCAGGGCCGCATGCAGCTACACAAACCATCATGGAAAATTGTGGGTAAAATGCACATTATATATATATATATAAACCCCACGGAGTCGTCTTGAACAAGTAAGAACTATATATTGTCAAAGCGATTCGAAACTGGAGCCATCAGCAGAATAACCAATCGAATGTCTGAATGGATTCAAGAACGACCAATCAAATCACGTCCTGTCGAATATATTCAGCCAATCCAAACGTACAATTGACACGACCGACTCTGTCCCTCCGCATCTTTGTACAGTATATTAGTATGTACTAGCTTAATTTCGATCAAATGGTTTCGAATGGTATTTGGCGAAATGACTCACAAGTCCAAATTTGGGTGAAATCCACAATATATATATATATAGTGCATTTCATACATATATAAACCTCAGAGAGTCGTCGTGAACAAATGTATAGGTAGGTGTACACCTATTTACCTGATCGTTGGTTTCTTTCGAGTGCAGTGCGTCCTGCACCCGCCCAGCACTCAACGTGGACCCGACCACTAGCGTTGGCGCCGTCGTTCGAGCTTTGTGCACAAAGCAGAGTACTTTCAGCATGATCTCGAGCCAGTCGTTAAGGCGAGACGTGGGCGACTGGACCATCGCAGCCAACGCAGTACTGGTCGCCTTGCCAACTTTGTTGTGGACGTCCATCGCTGGCGAAATAAATACCTATACCCGTTTGTTAGAGTATTCATTACCACTCTCCAAGTGTACTAACACATATAAAACTATAATATCAGCCATGATATTAGATATATACACATACTAAACATAAATGGCCAGACCCCAATATATATATATATATATACAGTATGTGTGAAAGTATTATTAGGTCCATGCAATCCCAAATTGGATTGGAGATTATAATGTATACACACTCTAGGACGACACGAATTGTGCCTTGTTCAATACGCGC